TATAGTGATCGATGTCAGCTACGTGGCATATAAACATGACAGAATGCAGTGACGGCCCTCTGTAGAGCTTAAAATACTCTCACAATATTTGGGGATTATACTTTACAGTACTGTAGGTTTTTGCCCTACAACGTAAAGCACCTTGAGGCGCTTGGTCTGCTATGTATGGCAACTTTAATTGGAAAAAGATGAATGTTAGATTATATTGTAGTGACAATAAAATGAGTGTGCAAAGAATACTTGATGTAAAACATGTTCTGGAAATATATAAACTATTCATGCAAATCTCTCATGAAATTGGAAAATGAGTGTATTAATTGACTAATGTAAACTTCTCTCATGTTTCACTTATCTTATTTCCTTCAGTAACATTTATATTTATTTCATTTCGGTTTAGTTTTGCTTTAACTGTATAAAGCAACACAATAATTTTTAAACATGCACAGCAACCCTAACGTTTTATGACCAAGAACCCAACAGCTGGAGACAGCTGGATCAAGATTAAAAGTGGATTTTGGCTGCCAGCTAGTTAGTACTAATTCTTTTTCAAACTGCATTTTAATCTCTTAAATTTTAACATTGTACAGCAATATATGTTAGTTGTGATTATCTGTAACAGTGATTAAGCCATTGTTAAATACATTTGCGTTTATAGCTTTTAAAAATTGTCCATCTGCCTGGGACGAGAGCTGAAAACCAGCCTGTAATGGAGTAGACTGGTTCTAATATAGTGCTTTTCTACTACACTCGAGCAGCCAAAGTACTTTATACAACGGTCCTTATTCACCTATTCACACAAGCACTTTCTATTTTATATTTTTACAAACATTCATGCTTCATCAGAGAGCAACTTGGGGTTCAGTATCTTGCCCGGGACATTTGATATGCAGACTGAAGACTCGAGCCGCCCGGGACTGAACCACCAGTCTTCTTGGATGAGTGACGAAACGTTTCTCCTAAGTCCAGATGGACAGAATGCATTTTTGGGGATTTGAACATGCATCAAGACATGTCTCTGCCTCATTCTTGCAATACTGTCAAGAACCTGTGTATGAAAACAGTTTGCTAAGGAAAACTCGATCAAAGACGCCCACCTATATCCAAAACAAACCAATTTAGAGTTCAATGCTGTGTGGACTTGAGAATGGGGTTAAAGGTAAGTCTCTCTAACTCTTCACCATTGCAATCTGAAGCTTTCAATCATGTACTAGGTACTTTTAACAGCACTGTGACATTAGATAGCTGTGAGTGTTTCTGATTCCTATAATAATGATCGCTGTAAGTTTACCTATGCTAAATATTCACGAGACTACTTCTCAGATGACTCTCTGTGTTTAATATATCAAGCAGCTTGATTATTTGCAAAAGACAGCTCATTAAAGAAAGGGTCAACAGTCCCGGACAGTGTCAGACATCATCAGCTCAACTGAAATTAAAAAAGCCTCA